GGCAAAATTTTGGATCAGATATTAAACATTTTGATAAAACAAACACAATTATTTCAAAGCTAATACAGGAGGGTGCTCATATTCTTAATTAAAAAATGGCATGAAAAAAATTTGGTATGGAAATTCATGTGATACATGTTAACAAGGCATTTAATGTTTTAACTGAGGTTACTTATTCTGAAAATAAGTAAATTAATATGAAAGGTCAATAATGAATGCATGTATTTATACATCTGAGTGACATACATAGACATTCAGAAGATACAAACATACAAAATTACAGCTACGTCAAGTATATCTAATTTAGAAAAATATGAAAATATTTTAAAAAGAAGAGAAAGAAAATAGTGATTATGTGAGGACAGTAGCAATCTTCGTTTCTTCAAAATTATTATAATACTTTTTAAATGAAAATATATTTACTTTGGCTTGGTTATATCTATAAAATCATTATATAACTTAGCTATATTAAACAATACTAAAGGGATATAATTTACAAATAAAACCACCATATAATATTAAATTTCCCTAAGTATGAAATCCACATACCTGAACCAACCTCCTTTTCCTCTTCTTCAATGCTGTTTCTGATACTATCATATTCCTCATCAATGGTCTGGTTACCACGCATCTGAGATAAAATTCTACGAGCCTTCTGAGTCTGTCCTTTCTGAATAAGCCATCGAGGACTTTCCGGCAAAAAGAGAAAACCAAAGAACTGTATAACTGCTGGAATTGCTGCAAGTCCCAACATGTACCTGCAATAAGAAATTTACATTTATTGTAAAATATGATCTAACAGTACTGAGTATGAACTCACCACATGCTTTTGTGTTTGGGACCACAATAACCTCCAATGGTAAATTAAAATTATTATATATGTATACACCATTATAGTATTTTTATGCAGTACTGAAAATCGAAAAATGAAAAAAATCTAATATTTCTCTTACCAATTTCGATGAAAATAATGAGTAAAAGTCATAATATACACATTCTAGACCAACACATTGTGCAAATACACTATATGACTGGGTGTCTGTGATCCCAGTGACTCAGGAGGCTAAGGCAGGATTCCAAATTAATTTGAACTAATAAGCTTAATAAATAAGCTTGAGTGAGATCCTGTCTCAAAAACTTTTTCAAAAAGTTTCTTTCAAAGTGATAGGGATGTAGCTCAGTGAAGGAGTACCCCTGGGTTCTATCCCTAGTATCACAAAACATAAAACAACCATATTAACTGGGACTGCTATGTTTTGGATAAGTGTCCTGTAAGGCCCATCTGTTAAAAGCTTGTTGTCAAGTCTGTGGTGCTCCTGGGAGGCAGGGGAACCTTCAAGAGGTAGAACTTGCAGGGCCTAGTGGTGCATGCCTGTAATCCCAAGGACTAAGGAGGCTGAGGCAGGAGGATCGCAACTTCAAAGCCAGCCTCAGCAAAAGTGAAGCACTAAGCAACTCAGTGAGAACATGTTTCTAAATAAATTACAAAATAAGAGATGTGGCTCAATGGTCCAGTACGCCTGAGTTCAATCCCTGGTACGGAAAAAAAAAAAAAAAAAGGTAGAACTTAGTGGGAGTATGGTCACTGAGGACACGCCCTCAAGGTGAATTAGGACCCAAGCCCCTTCTCTCTCAGCTTCTGAACTTCCACAAGGTAAACAAATTCCTTTGCCAAATGCTCCCTGCCATGATGTTCTGCCGCAGCTCCAACCAGCAACAAGTGAATGAACCTTCAACTGAAACCTAAGCCAGAATGAAACTTTCCTCCTTATAAGTTGATTATCCTGGGTATTCTGTCACAGTCATGCAAAGGTGACTAACAAAGGAGCTAAGATGAAACAGTCGTCTGCTTATAAAATGAATTT